GGCATCAACTCCCTTCTTCTCTTCCTCACAGACTCGGTGTAATCTTCATTTATATAAATGTTAGATCCTTTAAGCTTCTTTGCTTGTTGCAATATGCGTGCCTTATCTTTCTCTTTCATCAACTTTACCATCACCGCCCTCGGACCACGATCCGAAGGTTTCCCGACTCTGTGAGCCCGCTCCATCTCAATTTCTTGATGAATTTGCAGATTATTCTTCAGAATCTCCTTCACTTTACTTTATTTGTTTCATTACATGTGAAGGAGAGGGAGAAGAAAGCTTCAGAGGCAAACAGAACAGCAGACATCACACAGACTAGTTTTTGAAAATGCAACTGATGTCAGAGAGGGAAGTCCTCATTAGTCTGAATATAGAAATGCTGTTTTAAAAGTAGGTTATGGTCTCTGATAAGGAGAGCATTTGGATTGCTGTTGGGTGCAGCTGTGATGAAAAACATCCATGTTATTATAACCTACAGGAGGATACTGCACTGAATGCAATATGGGCAACACAGGTCAGAGTGCAGAGCTGTTATGAGATCTTTTTTTTTCATTACAAATAATCATGATTAGTTATTTATGTGTTGGCAAAAAGAACTATGATAATCATTTTAGTTGCAGGTCCTGGTTTCTGTTTCCATTATCAACTCCTATTGGACTTTGACAATGATCCCATCCCGATAAACAGATCTGAGGCTACTGTTTGTGTGTGTGTGTGTGTCTTCTTGTACTTGCTACAGAGTGAGGACCAAAGAAAGACTTTTCAGCTACAGAGTGAGGATATTTTTGGAAAGTGAGGGCATTTTAGCCTGCCCAGACTTTTTGAAACACCTTTTTGAGGGTTAAGACTTGGATTCAGTTTTCAGGTTAGAATTAGATTTAGGTTTGGGTATGGGACTAGGGAATGCATTATGCCAGTGTGTGTCATCACAAAGATAGAAGTACAACTGTGAATATAATGGGGATAAAAAGATAAATTAGTGGTAGGTTATGTTTTGGGGCTGAGACTGTTTTATTTGTTTGCTTATTTGAGATGTGTTTTCATGGATGGAACAGCTGTCTTTGTTTTGTTTTATCTAAATAAAAAAGAAGAAAAAATGGTTTAGGCACTCGCGTTGTGAAGACTCAGCCTTGTGGGGTCCATGTAAACTTCAAAATTTAGGGTGACACCTTGGTTTAATGTTGAGGATAAAGTTTGGGCTGGCAAGTACTGGTTATGTTTAAGATTAGGGTAAGGAAGGTTAGGGTTAGGAAATTATTGCAAGTAAATGTTAAGACCCAATGAGGAATGAAAACAAATTTGTGTGTGTATGTGTCTGGGTTTTCTTGTATTTGCTACACAGTAAGGACCAAAAAATTATCTATTTTTTGCTACAGAGTGAGGACATTTTGGCCAGTCACCACTTTCTGAAACACGTTTTTGAGGATTAAGACTTGTTTTTAAAGTTCAGGTTAGGCTGAGGGTAATCCATCCAACAGTTGTTGATGTATTTCAGTCTGGAGCTGTGTCTCTAGTAAAAACACTCCTCGTAGGTGGATGAGCTATGACAGTGTGTCCCTATTTCTAAACTACATCAGACATATCTTTGGCATTTCTTTATTGTGATTTCTTCTTACTTAGCATTAGACATACAGTATGTGCCAATAGGATAATTCCACAGCAAGCTAACATTGGCTGCTAATACTGGTAAGCTGAATTAGAAGGCAGGTTGTGATTTATACAGCCAAACTTAATATACATGGTCTCAAAAGGCTTAAATTAGACTGAAAAATACAATGATGGCATTCATACAAAATTGTAGTAAATCTAATATTACAGTAGCAGTATCATATTAGACATATATACAATCTCTGTATACACTGAATGATCCTGAGTTTCAACTCCTCACTGGCCTACATTCTGTCAGGCTGGTTGTTTGTAACACATACTTCATTTCATTCGTTTAGACTGGTAGCCGCATCCCTGCCAAGATGAATGGGATTTTTTCGCACTGGCACTTAGAATAAGGTTAATTCCTTCAGTCTAGATTTTAAGCACTTTAAAATGAGAAACCCTTCGTTTGCTGAATGGGTTCTGATGTTGATACTGAGTGGTTGGGTTTTTAATTATGAAAAGCTAAACTGTCTTTTGTGATGGTAGGTCAGAGCAATAGCAGATCAGTTCCTGGATCCAGGTTTTCTATACGAGTCCAGCCTAATTATCATGGTACAGCAGCAAGGAACAATATTTTGTATGTTTCAGGGAATCCTAACAACAATGTTTAAAGTGCTACAATCTTTGAATGAAAGTTAGAACTATTTTCATCTTATCATTTGTTTCTGTAGCGCTATGTGGATGGTGGGATCAGTGACAACCTGCCACAGTCAGAATTGAAGAACACCATCACTATCTCGCCATTTTCTGGTGAGAGTGACATCTGCCCCCGCGACAGCTCCACTAGTTTCCACGAGCTGCGCTTCACCAACACCAGCATCCAGATGAACCTGGGTAACATGTACCGCCTCACCAGGGCCCTGTTTCCACCAGAACCCAAGGTAGGTAACATGCAACCTTTAATGAGACATTCAGGGCCAAAAACTGCCTGGCAACAAACATAAAACAGACAAAGTTAGCCATTAGCTGATACATTTTATAGCTAATGAGCCAGATAATACAAAACTTTTTAAAGTGATAATATAGCCATGTTGTGATGTTATGTAAATTTTAAAATAAAATGACTTTTTAAAATTGAATAAATATGTGACTTTAAGGACAGCTGTCCCTGGTAGGCTAGTGGTTAAGGCACAGTGCTCTCACCGCTGCGCACGGGTTCGGATCAGGGTTGCGTCAGGGCATCCGGCATAAAACACGTGCCAGATGTCAACATGCAAGTCATCAATGTGATGATTCGCTGTGGCGACCCCTAAACGGGAAAAGCCGAAAGAGACTTTCTTTCTTTCTTATGTGACTTTAAGGACAATAAAACAAATCATTGCCCAGTTCAGTTAACTTAGGTGTACAGTCTTAGTCTGGTATAACCAGTAGGTTATAGTGGCTAATGTTAGTTAACATGAGCTAATTTTGCATAGACAGTGCTTTTGTATAGCTGACATTAGTGAGCTCATTTGATGACTCATCTACACTTAAACTGCTGTCACGCTATGTTTTATCATTTCCCTTTATCTTACAGTGAGCACTAGTTTCACTGTGGCCATCACAGCTTAACCTATATACAATAGTTGTCTTTACTTTTTATTTGTTTCTATTTATAAAAAAAAAGAGAGATTGAATCTTCAAATATCCTATATTACCGTAATAGACTTTAGTGTCAACATAACTGACAGGATTGTTTCAACAAATTAAAGCTGAAACTATTACTTGATAGAAGGAAAAAAAAAATTTCAACTATCCTGATAAGTGATTATATAGAAAAGTAATTTTGGAAGCAAAAATAATGAAACTCTCTCATTCATGTGCTGGTTGTTGTTTCTCCAATGTGAGTTTTCTGCTTTTCTTTTTCTGTTAATCTGTAACTAATTGTCAAGCAAAAATGTCAAACATTCACTGCTTTCTTACAAAATGAGGATTAGCTAAACTGAATATCCTTGGGTTATGAATTGTTGGTCAGACATAAGACATTTAAAGAAGTCACTTTAGGCTCTGATTTTTATTATTATTATTATTATTATTGTCATTTTGCACATTACATTTGAACCGTTGCAGGTCTCAGTTGCAGTAGCTGTTTGTAGTATCTCATTAAATGCTACCCCAGCAGACTTTTTTTTTAAAGACTTGTTGCTTTCACTTTCCAATTTAAAGATAAGCTACATTTCTTGATTATGTCACAGTAGCCCATAAACCAATGTTCGTGCAAAGGCTAAAGGCCACAATGACATAAATCTAGAAACATCCTCTGGTATGAAGACCCAAATACTCATAGGCTGGCACCATGTCTACCCAGGAGGCCTAGTGTGAGTAGCAGAACAGCAGCTCCTGTGCTCTGTCTGCACAGGAGGCATTCAAGTACAGTAGTGAGTGTAGGTCACTTGTGTTTTGGAAGTGCTCAGAGACCAAGACACAGTCCTGTAGTTACGCTCGTAAAACACAGGAAATGGACTCAGAATGTAAAAATATTGTTCTGGTACCATTTACATATGTGAGGTATAAGTAAAACTCCAGCTGTTAACCCATCTGTATAGACAGCTGGATAAACAGAAGCACATCTGTTCTGTCAGATTAGTGTTAGAGGGACAACTGAAAATCCATCTGAAACCCCTTCTATGTACGGTAGATGTGCCATAATTTCACACGGCAGATGATTTAGCAAGTGGATCAAGTCCTGTTGTGATACACATGAGAGCTGGAATAGATACTGAAGTCCTCCTTTGCTCCCTTTACACATTACTGACAGAAAGTAGTGTTTGGATATTTTACCTGCTGTCACTCTCCTTTATCTCATGTTTGCCCTTGTTATTCCATGTTGCTCTGATGATTGTTAGGTGGCCTTCAAGATCAGGTGAGCTTTGCCCTTGCTGTGGTAGAGTTGTTTGCTGTGGTGTTATCCTCACCACTCCCCTCACGTGTGTGTGCATGTCCTTCGATTATATAAATGTGTTCACCGGTCTTGTGGCACCAGGATTTGTGTTCTTGCCACACTACTATAGGGGAGGAATTACCTTTCAAGTCTACCCATTAAGCTTGAGCCAGTGCCTCATCTCTACAAACACAAACTTGACAGATACTGGAATGACATGTGTAGCAACACAGACTTTGGCTATTAAATGAGACAGAAGTTTGTGATTTAACCCCTAACCCCTGTGGTCTGACCGTTTCAGACAGTGGATTGGCTGTGAGCTGCTCTGCTGATATTAGAGCTCTTTTTACTGAAGAAGTTGCTCTTGTGCAATGTAACTGACAGTGATGACAGTAATGGGAAAATGTTTGCTTTCTAAAAGATACAGATATCTAAATGACAGATAAAACCTTTGAACTTGATGCTTTTTCAGGAAATATAACCAGTCTTTATGTATGTGTGTGTATAT